CACTCATGCATACACTCATGCACACACTCATGCACACACTCATGCACACACTCATGCACACACTCATGCACACACTCATGCACACACGCACGCACGCACACACTCATGCACACACGCATGCACGCACACACGCATGCACACACGCACGCACACACTCATGCACACACACACGCACACACGCATGCACACACACACGCACACACGCATGCACACACTGATGCACACACGCACGCACGGCTCCATGAGATGAAGACCCCAAGTGCACATTATGCAGATAAACTTACATACACAGAGGCGTTCGTGCGTACACAAAGACAAGACAAAGATCCCCCGTATAGCTTTAACAGACTGTTGGGGCAAGTGCTGTTAGCAAGCACCTATGAAGGCCGGCAACGGCACACGAGGGGGTGATTGGCCAGCACCACGCCCGACCGCCTTTGTCTCCCGCTCCCCCCCACACACACAATCAGTTCGACATACACACAACCCGCAGATACAAATGCACACATCCATAAATACCGACCTGCACGCGAACACACAATAGACAACACACAGTACACACATAGGATACACACATAGAACACACACACACAGTACACACACGCAGTACACACACGCAGTAAACACACACAGAACACACACACAGTACACACACGCAGTAAACACACACAATAAACACACACACAGTACACAGACTCACAGAACATACACACAGCCTCCATCATTCCCCTTCAGCGTGCTTAACCCTTTCCCCAACCTACTCATCCAGCCCCTCGCCCATCTATCTGTGACCCAATCCCCTTGTGGCCAAACACATCTACCCCCTAACCCATCTACCCCCTAACCCATCTACCCCCTAACCCATCTTCCCCCTAACCCATCCACCCCCTAACCCATCTACCCCCTAACCCATCTACCCCCTAACCCATCTACCCCCTAACCCATCCACCCCCTAACCCATCTACCCCCTAACCCATCTACCCCCTAACCCATCTACCCCCTAACCCATCTACCCCCTAACCCATCCAACCCCTAACCCATCCACCCCCTAACCCTTCTACCCCCTTACCCATCTACCCCCTAACCCATCCACCCCCTAACCCATCTACCCCCTAACCCATCTACCCCCTAACCCATCCACCCCCTAACCCATCTACCCCCTAACCCATCTACCCCCTAACCCATCCACCCCCTAACCCATCTACCGTCTAACCCATCTACCCCCTAACCCATCTACCCCCTAACCCATCTACCCCCTAACCCATCTACCCCCTAACCCATCTACCCTCTAAGCCATCTACCCCCTAACCCATCTACCCCCTAACCCATCTACCCCCTAACATATCTACCCCCTAACCCATTTATCGCGATCCTGCAATGTAAATAATACACCTCGCATCTTCACACGACCAAATCTTATCGCTCCATCTCCCCGGAGAAACGAGCGTCTATCGTACTGCCCCTATCGTACCGCCTCGTGTGATGTTGTTTGTACTGCCCATCAACTATTTACAGAAACTGTAAGATGTGTTGACACTTCAAACTAAACGGGCAGCACACTGGTAGCAACATTTTATAAATTCACGACTAATCTAATCAACTCATCGACACACACGGGGGGGTCATGTCAATCACCCCCCCCCCCCCCTTTTCCAGCAGCAGCCGAATAGCACGAGCCCCTCCCCTCTCCCCCACCCCCCTCTGCCCCCTCCCTCGGTGCCTCTCCTCCCATGGGGGAGCTTCCCCCAACGGTGTCTCTCCTCTCACTCAAATCTCCCCCCGTGTCTCTCCTCTCACTCAAATCTCCCCCCGTGTCTCTCCTCTCACTCAAATCTCCCCCCGTGTCTCTCCTCTCACTCAAATCTCCCCCCGTGTCTCTCCTCTCACTCAAATCTCCCCCCGTGTCTCTCCTCTCACCCAAATCTCCCCCCGTGTCTCTCCTCTCACTCAAATCTCCCCCCGTGTCTCTCCTCTCACTCAAATCTCCCCCCGTGTCTCTCCTCTCACCCAAATCTCCCCCCGTGTCTCTCCTCTCACCAAAATCTCCCCCCGTGTCTCTGCGCTCACCCAAATCTCCCCCCGTGTCTCTCCTCTCACCCAAATCTCCCCCCGTGTCTCTCCTCTCACCCAAATCTCCCCCCGTGTCTCGCCTCTCACCCAAATCTCCCCCCGTGTCTCTCCTCTCACTCAAATCTCCCCCCGTGTCTCTCCTCTCACCCAAATCTCCCCCCGTGTCTCTGCGCTCACCCAAATCTCCCCCCGTGTCTCTCCTCTCACTCAAATCTCCTCCCGTGTCTCTCCTCTCACCCAAATCTCCTCCCGTGTCTCTCCTCTCACCCAAATCTCCCCCCGTGTCTCTCCTCTCACCCAAATCTCCCCCCGTGTCTCTCCTCTCACCCACATCTCCTCCCGTGTCTCTCCTCTCACTCAAATCTCCTCCCGTGTCTCTCCTCTCACCCAAATCTCCCCCCGTGTCTCTCCTCTCACTCAAATCTCCCCCCGTGTCTCTCCTCTCACCCAAATCTCCCCCCGTGTCTCTCCTCTCACCAAACTCTCCCCCCGTGTCTCTGCGCTCACCCAAATCTCCCCCCGTGTCTCTCCTCTCACCCAAATCTCCCCCCGTGTCTCTCCTCTCACCCAAATCTCCCCCCGTGTCTCGCCTCTAACCCAAATCTCCCCCCGTGTCTCGCCTCTCACTCAAATCTCCCCCCGTGTCTCTCCTCTCACTCAAATCTCCCCCCGTGTCTCTCCTCTCACCCAAATCTCCCCCCGTGTCTCTCCTCTCACCAAAATCTCCCCCCGTGTCTCTGCGCTCACCCAAATCTCCCCCCGTGTCTCTCCTCTCACTCAAATCTCCTCCCGTGTCTCTCCTCTCACTCAAATCTCCTCCCGTGTCTCTCCTCTCACCCAAATCTCCTCCCGTGTCTCTCCTCTCACCCACATCTCCCCCCGTGTCTCTCCTCTCACCCAAATCTCCCCCCGTGTCTCTCCTCTCACCCAAATCTCCCCCCGTGTCTCTCCTCTCACCCAAATCTCCCCCCGTGTCTCTCCTCTCACCCAAATCTCCCCCCGTGTCTCTCCTCTCACCAAAATCTCCCCCCGTGTCTCTGCGCTCACCCAAATCTCCCCCCGTGTCTCTCCTCTCACCCAAATCTCCCCCCGTGTCTCTCCTCTCACCCAAATCTCCCCCCGTGTCTCTCCTCTCACCCAAATCTCCCCCCGTGTCTCTCCTCTCACTCAAACCTCCCCCCGTGTCTCTCCTCTCACCCAAATCTCCCCCCGTGTCTCTGCGCTCACCCAAATCTCCCCCCGTGTCTCTCCTCTCACTCAAATCTCCTCCCGTGTCTCTCCTCTCACCCAAATCTCCTCCCGTGTCTCTCCTCTCACCCAAATCTCCCCCCGTGTCTCTCCTCTCACCCAAATCTCCCCCCGTGTCTCTCCTCTCACCCAAATCTCCTCCCGTGTCTCTCCTCTCACTCAAATCTCCTCCCGTGTCTCTCCTCTCACCCAAATCTCCCCCCGTGTCTCTCCTCTCACTCAAATCTCCCCCCGTGTCTCTCCTCTCACCCAAATCTCCCCCCGTGTCTCTCCTCTCACCAAAATCTCCCCCCGTGTCTCTCCGCTCACCCAAATCTCCCCCCGTGTCTCTCCTCTCACCCAAATCTCCCCCCGTGTCTCTCCTCTCACCCAAATCTCCCCCCGTGTCTCTCCTCTCACCCAAATCTCCCCCCGTGTCTCGCCTCTCACCCAAATCTCCCCCCGTGTCTCGCCTCTCACTCAAATCTCCCCCCGTGTCTCTCCTCTCACTCAAATCTCCCCCCGCGTCTCTCCTCTCACCCAAATCTCCCCCCGTGTCTCTCCTCTCACCAAAATCTCCCCCCGTGTCTCTGCGCTCACCCAAATCTCCCCCCGTGTCTCTCCTCTCACTCAAATCTCCTCCCGTGTCTCTCCTCTCACTCAAATCTCCTCCCGTGTCTCTCCTCTCACCCAAATCTCCTCCCGTGTCTCTCCTCTCACTCAAATCTCCCCCCGTGTCTCTCCTCTCACCCAAATCTCCCCCCGTGTCTCTCCTCTCACCCAAATCTCCCCCCGTGTCTCTCCTCTCACCAAAATCTCCCCCCGTGTCTCTCCTCTCACCCAAATCTCTCCCCGTGTCTCTCCTCTCACCCAAATCTCCCCCCGTGTCTCTGCGCTCACCCAAATCTCCCCCCGTGTCTCTCCTCTCACCCAAATCTCCTCCCGTGTCTCTCCTCTCACCCAAATCTCCCCCGTGTCTCTGCGCTCACCCAAATCTCCTCCCGTGTCTCTCCTCTCACCCAAATCTCCCCCCGTGTCTCTCCTCTCACCCAAATCTCTCCCCGTGTCTCTGCGCTCACCCAGAGCTCCTCCCGTGTCTCTCCTCTCACCCAAATCTCTCCCCCGTGTCTCTGCGCTCACCCAAATCTCCTCCCGTGTCTCTCCTCTCACCCAAATCTCCCCCCGTGTCTCTCCTCTCACCCAGAGCTCTCCCCGTGTCTCTCCTCTCACCCAAATCTCCCCCCGTGTCTCTCCTCTCACCCAGAGCTCTCCCCGTGTCTCTCCTCTCACCCAGAGCTCTCCCCGTGTCTCTCCTCTCACCCAGAGCTCTCCCCGTGTCTCTCCTCTCACCCAAATCTCTCCCCGTGTCTCTGCGCTCACCCAGAGTTCTCTCTCCCCGTGTCTCTGCGCTCACCCAAATCTCCCCCCGTGTCTCTGCGCTCACACAGAGCTCCCCCCGTGTCTCTGCGCTCACCCAAGGCAAGCAGCGCTGCTGCCACCACCTCCCTCGCGTCTCCCCCCCCTCCTCCTCTTCTCATCCCCCCCCTCCTCCTCTTCTCATCCCCTCCTCCATGCGTCCCCTCTTCCCCGCACCCTCTCCTCCTCCCCGCTCCACCTCCCCGCACCCCCTCCTCCTCCCTCCCCGCCTCCTCCTCCTCCCTCCCCGCCTCCTCCTCCTCCCCCTCCTCCCGCTCGCCGCGTGCTCTCCGCTCTCTTGGTCTCGCGCCCAGCCTCGCGCACTGAGCTCGCGAGCACGCGCACGGGCGGGCGCGCGCGCGTGAGTGCCGAGTCGCTCGCGCCGTGTTGGTCATTCGCGCTGTCATCGTAGGGATCATCGTCGTCATCGTCACGAAGTACTCTTTATCATCATCGTTAGCCGACAATCATCGTCACTGGTATTTCACCATCAGTAGTCTATCGTCACCAGCCTCATCGTTGCCACTCGTCCGTCATCATTACTCGGTCGTAATGATCACGAGGTCTATTGTTGTTATCATCATCATCATCGCCGTCGGTCTTCCGTAATCAACCGGGCAATAATCGTGGAGAGCGCTTCCACAGCGGTTCCAGATCGCGTTAGCATCACCGAACATCGCAGCGTCGCAATCAGCACCGCCGTTGGTTGTTTGCGTTCTTTTTGGGGATTATTTAAAAAAATATTTGCCGCGAATATTAAACAACAACAACAACAAAAAACCCATTGCACTAATCAGAGGCGTTCGCGCGCTCTCCTCTCGAACGCCACGTTCGGGGACACTCGAACATCATTAGGTGCGCATACTGCGGAACATTTATTCGAAAATATCGGCACGCGCAGTTGGGTGATTTTATCTCGCAGTATTCGGATGTTGTGGCGCGATCATTCGTGCAAATTACATTCAGTGGCAGCGTCTACAAAAGGGGGCGACCGCTGGACCATCCGTCGCGAGACACCGCAAAACCGCAATTCAGGATATCGGAACCGAGTTAGAGTACGTTCAGGATCCGTCGAACGCGACATCGGATATTCTGGCATCCGTTGCAATAACAGTGCTACTTTTGTTATATTGCACGCCCGAGTTGGCATAGCAGAGGGCCGAGTGGGTAGGGGTGTCGTTGCTGGCTGTGGCAGCCTTATACGGGCGAGGCGGCTTCGCCTTACGACTTCCCTTGGCGATGAACAGTGGAGCGACACAATAATTGGTGTAGAGTCATCATTTAAAAAAAAAACTTCGCCGGAAGCGACATCGTCTCAGTTGATTAATAAAAGAAATCGGAAGCGATTTTTAAAACAAATTTGGTGGCTAAACAACAGCTGTGTTATATATTTGACTCTAGTGGCACGTAGAAACAGAGAGAGAGAGACACGCGCGCGCATCGCTGGATACAGACTGTGGATTGTGGAGTTGTTGATTGTGGGAAATCCTTCGGAAGAGACAAACTCGGATACGAGAGCATAGCTCGGACAATTCACGGGGAGAGGCCAAAATTTCAGAACGGTTCGAGAAATGTTGGCCTCCCGATCGCTGTAGAGGAGGCAATTTTTGTTAGATTATTTTCTTTTCTTTCTGGAATATTCTCTCCTCGACCAACAAAAGAAAATCCATAGGGGGGTTGGGGCGTGGGGCGGTGGGGTGAGGGGAGGCATACGTGTTTCAAAAAATACTTCTCCGAAGACAGACAGTGTAAGACGTTGGAGAGCACATTTGTTTTTGTGGTCGTCATGGGTTGCACCGTCAGCGCGGAAGATAAAGCAGCTGCCGAACGTTCGAAGATGATCGACAGGAATCTGAGAGAAGACGGGGAGAAGGCCGCTCGCGAGGTCAAGCTGCTCCTTCTAGGTGAGACAATTGCACTACATTTGGCTTTTCAGCATCATCGCCATCGTGATGATGATGATGGATGATCCATCAGCAATTAGGAAAACGTAATCATCGTCGTTGTTGTCGAGAGCGCGCAAGTTCACACATGCCCAGAGCTGACTCTTGCTCGGGTTGGTGTGTGTGTGTGCTGTTGAGAAAGACAAAGATCACCCTTCCCTTCCCCCGTATAGCCTCAAACAGATTGTTGGCGCAAGTGTTGTTGGTGAGTCGCACCAATGAAGGCCGGCGCAGTGCTGGGGTGGGTGGTCAGCACCACGAGGCTCGTAGAACGGGGACACTCGTGAACACACAAAAAAAAAGGGGCTTCATAGGCTCAACGGATTTCTCCGCAACAAATAAAGATTACGATTCTGAACTCGTCGATTGAGGAATTAAATACAAACAATGCGTGCGAGAATAAGCCGTAAAAAAAAACAACAACAAAAACCACAATTGCTCACAGCTGTTTTATTTCACGAAAATGCGCGCGTGAGAACTTGCGTTAGTCCGTCCCATCGCCGCCGCGCGAGGAGGATTGTTTGAGAATTGTTAACTCTCCGTGGTGGCGCTTAACGCCAATATTGTGTAACATTGCAACACACTTGCACGCTAGCAGCAACCGTGACTGGGGCACGTGTGAAGGCTGTAACGGGGACACACAAAAGAGGGTCTCACCACCACTCCGACATACTCTGTGCATTTGCAAACACGTGTGGGGTGGGGGGGGAGGTGGTTGGGACAGCACATGGCTCGCACATTTGGTAGGTCGCATTGCGGTGGGGTAAAATGTGAGCGCTACCACCTCTTCAAGGTGCCTGTCCAGCGTGGATGAAGAGGCTGCAATACTCGAACCCAGGGGTGGCTTCTTCATTGCAAGGCCCGCGAGCCACTGATGGGGGCCTTTAGTTGCGGCCCCCCCCCCTGACGTGCGGTCCTTCCCGACAAATACACAGCGAGTGACAACACCCCCCCCCCTTCTCCCATCGTCGTCATCGTGCTACTGTCAACCCCCCCAAATGGTTGCAAATGTGTGATGGAGCTCAGAGACCGATGATGTCTTATCGGCGAAAGTGCCCCCCCCCCCCGTCGCATCTGGAAATGTGTGTGAACAAGCAATTGCAGGTCTGCACCTTCACCCTGATGTTACGTTGTACTGTGTCTATTAACTACTACAATGTTGTACTGTGTCTATTGACTACTACAATGTTGTACAGTGTCTATTAACTACTACAACGTTGTACAGTGTCTATTAACTACTACAACGTTGTACTGTGTCTATTAACTACTACAATGTTGTACTGTGTCTATTAACTACTACAATGTTGTACTGTGTCTATTGACTACTACAACGTTGTACTGTGTCTATTAACTACTACAATGTTGTACTGTGTCTATTAACTACTACAACGTTGTACTGTGTCTATTAACTACTACAACGTTGTACAGTGTCTATTAACTACTACAACGTTGTACAGTGTCTATTAACTACTACAACGTTGTACAGTGTCTATTAACTACTACAACGTTGTACTGTGTCTATTAACTACTACAACGTTGTACTGTGTCTATTGACTACTACAATGTTGTACAGTGTCTATTAACTACTACAATGTTGTACTGTGTATATTGACTACTACAACGTTGTACTGTGTCTATTGACTACTACAATGTTGCACAGTGTCTATTAACTACTACAATGTTGTACTGTGTCTATTGACTACTACAACGTTGTACTGTCTATTAACTACTACAACGTTGTACAGTGTCTATTAACTACTACAATGTTGTACAGTGTCTATTAACTACTACAATGTTGTACTGTGTCTATTAACTACTACAACGTTGTACAGTGTCTATTAACTACTACAACGTTGTACTGTGTCTATTGACTACTACAATGTTGCACAGTGTCTATTAACTACTACAATGTTGTACTGTGTCTATTGACTACTACAACGTTGTACTGTCTATTAACTACTACAACGTTGTACAGTGTCTATTAACTACTACAATGTTGTACAGTGTCTATTAACTACTACAATGTTGTACTGTGTCTATTAACTACTACAACGTTGTACTGTGTCTATTAACTACTACAACGTTGTACAGTGTCTATTAACTACTACAACGTTGTACTGTGTCTATTAACTACTACAATGTTGTACTGTGTCTATTAACTACTACAACGTTGTACAGTGTCTATTAACTACTACAACGTTGTACTGTGTCTATTAACTACTACAACGTTGTACTGTGTCTATTAACTACTACAACGTTGTACTGTGTCTATTAACTACTACAACGTTGTACTGTGTCTATTAACTACTACAATGTTGTACTGTGTCTATTAACTACTACAACGTTGTACTGTGTCTATTAACTACTACAATGTTGTACTGTGTCTATTAACTACTACAATGTTGTACAATCTATTAACTACTACAATGTTGTACTGTGTCTATTAACTACTACAACGTTGTACTGTGTCTATTAACTACTACAATGTTGTACTGTGTCTATTAACTACTACAACGTTGTACTGTGTCTATTGACTACTACAACGTTGTACAGTGTCTATTAACTACTACAATGTTGTACTGTGTCTATTAACTACTACAATGTTGTACTGTGTCTATTAACTACTACAACGTTGTACTGTGTCTATTAACTACTACAATGTTGTACAGTGTCTATTAACTACAACGTTGTACTGTGTCTATTAACTACTACAATGTTGTACTGTGTCTATTAACTACTACAATGTTGTACTGTGTCTATTAACTACTACAATGTTGTACTGTGTCTATTAACTACTACAATGTTGTACTGTGTCTATTAACTACTACAGTGTTGTACTGTGTCTATTAACTACTACAACGTTGTACTGTGTTTATTAACTACTACAACGTTGTACAGTGTCTATTGACTACTAAAATGGGCCAAGCATGTTTGTGTGTAACGCGCGTGACGTCACTCCACGTCATTAATAATCATGTACGGGTGACGTCACTCCGCATATAGAAACCCCCCCTCATTAATAATCATGTACGGGTGACGTCACTCCGAATATAGCACCCCCCCCTCATTAATAATCATGTACGGGTGACGTCACTCCGCATATAGCACCTCCCCCTCCCTCAATAATAATTATGAGGAAGTGACGTCACTCCAGATTGAACAGCTCTCATTAATAATGAAGAGGTGACGTCTTCCAAATGGACACCCCCCTGCATTAATAATAATTAGCGGGTTGACGTCACTCCACATGGGGGGGGGGCGAAGGCGGCTCCTCCCCCCTCCACGGCGTCAACTGACAACCCTCACTACAAAGGCAGAACCCTCACGTCACGTGATCTCCGTCACACTGTTGAGACATCAAAGTAGAAAGGACGTCGTGACGAACAAGGGATTATAACCTTTACATTAAATAAGTCTGTGTCACCGCGGCCTTACAAATTGCACACGCATTGATGCAATGAATATCACGTCGCGGTCTGCTTTTCCCTTGCAAGTTTCACATTTACTGAAATACACCCGTCCTAATATATGTGTGTGTGTGTTTCTGTTGCTACGCAAGTGACATTCTAATTTATGGTGGAGGGGAATACAAGCCGCACTCTTATCCAGGCTGCCTTCAGGGGGCGCTATTGGCCGATCCTATTATCGGCCAATAGTCGCGTGAAGACCCCTGGGTACCATGCGTCTAATAGGATGAAGCGGTAGGTTGAGTGAAGTTCTTTCGGGAGACCCCTTCGCAGTCAGTTTGTGGTCGCGTCAAATCCGCGGATAGTTGCACGTAATAGGCTGAATATTCTGTGATGCCTGCGTTAAGCACGGGCGGTCGTGCGGATAATGGGAAGGTCCATTTGGGTTAGCGGATAATCGAGAGAGTACGATAGAATTGTGGAGAACACGTTTCACCGTATTGGGAACTGTCAAACGCTGGCAGTTGTGCGCATCTGAAGCCGTCTGGAACGTTCTTCCTTCCTATATCAGGAAGCCACTGAAGCTAGGCACTTTTAAGTAATCGAGATTGAAAACTCATTTTTTTAGAGCTGCGTATGTGTTTAGTTTGTTTTCCTTCCCCAGCACCTCCGATTAGCACGCTTTGGCTACGTACGGTGCCAAAGAAGTTCAGCGTACATGCATTGGATGGGTGGGTAAGTGGGTGGGTGAGTGAGTGGGTGAGTGAGTCGGTGAGTGAGTGGGTGGGTGAGTAAGTGGGTGAGTAAGTGGGTGAGTGAGTGAGTTGGTGAGTGTTTGAGTGGGTGGGTGAGTGGGTGGGCGAGTGAGTGGGTGGGTGAGTGAGTCGGTGTGTGTGAGTGAGTGGGTGGGTGAGTGGGTGGGTGAGTGAGTGGGTGGGTGAGTGAGTCGGTGATTGTGTGAGTGGGTGGGTGAGTGAGTCGGTGAGTGCGTGAGTGGGTGGGTGAGTGGGTGGGTGAGTGAGTGAGAAGGTAATTCGGCGAGTTCATAGGTGAGCGAGTTAGTGTGTGAGTGAGTTGGTGGGTAAGTGGGTGGATGAGTGAGTGGGTGAGTGAGTGAGTCGGTGAGTGAGTGATTCGGTAAGATAGTGAGTTGGTGAGTGTGTGAGTGAGTGTGTGAGTGGGTGGGTGAGTGAGTCGGTGAGTGTGTGAGTGGGTGAGTGGGTGGGTTAGTGGGTGGGTGAGTGAGTGAGAAAGTAATTCGGCGAGTTCATAGGTGAGCGAGTTAGTGTGTGAGTGAGTTGGTGGGTAAGTGGGTGGGTGAGTGAGTGGGTGAGTGAGTCGGTGAGTGTGTGAGTGGGTGGGTGAGTGGGTGGGTGAGTGGGTGGGTGAGTGAGAAGGTAATTCGGCGAGTTCATAGGTGAGCGAGTTAGTGAGTGTGTGAGTTGGTGGGTGAGTGAGTGGGTGAGTGAGTGAGTGGGTGAGTGAGTGAGTCGGTGAGTGTGTGTCGGTGAGTGTGTGAGTGAGTGAGTGTGTGAGTGAGTAAGTCGGTGAGTG